AAAAAAAAAAAAAAAAAAAGGCGCAACTAGCTCAAGTTAAGTTGGGATTCGAGGTACTATTGTCTTTCCTTGACTTGTGTCATTGTTTCAATTACAATGAATAGTTTCCATCATGACCCTACTACAACGATCTGGAACTTCATGCTTGCAGGCTAGCACATGAACCTGCATGCTGTGCAGTATCATGGTCGTGTGATCCCCGTGTAGCTTCAGAATAAACAGATGCAAAACTCCAAACATGCTTGATTTTGAGAGGTGCTCCGCGTCGGGTTTGTATGGTAGCTTCCCAAGATAGGGGGACCCCAAACTACTGTTGTCCTTACTATAGGGACCCATAAAGGTACCTCTACATTGGGGAAATTCCTGTATATATGTTACATAGGCAGTTTCAGGTTGACGCACGTCGCATGCCTTTCAGGCAGATTTTTGGTGGGTCTTGATCATGCAGAGCTGCGTCCTAAAGTTGCTGTCATACATTCTTGGGCAAACCAAACTCAGCGCGTGATCTGACTAAGTGACTAACTCGTCTTCCTTGCGGCTCTGTGTCAGGCTGCAAGAGTTTTTTTATGAAAGTGCCATAAACCCACCTCCCCCCCACCATTATTTACTGTCTGCCCATATGATGGTAACTCGGTTTAGGTACCTGAACAGCAACCCATTTGTGTCAGGCTGCAGGAGCTTTCCCATAGTGAGCGGGCAGGGATGACTGGTCGATGGTAGATGCCCGGCCGGCCATTGTAGAACTACCAGGCCTTTGGGGCCCCGGCTTGGGGGACCCTTTCCTGTCACTGATTCTCACTCCTTATGTAGAAGCCCAATAAAGTATAGTATAGCCCCTTAAGCCTCAACTTACTGGAGGTTAGTAGGGAATAAGGGAATCTATTATACAGGAGTTACATAGGGATTCTGAATAACCTCTAGCCTAGGGCTCCTCAGGCTTTCGATTGTGCATCTGTTGTTGGCCAAAGACAGCCACCGAACCTCTGCGGATCATGGTCTAAAGATGCTCTGACACGTAGATCCCTGATTTTCCTTTGCAGCCCTACCAGGATCCTTTTAGCAATATTATAGGGTGTATATATATATATACATAATATAGAAACAAGCATATATATATATATATAGGGTCATATAGGGATGATAGTGTATGTATATATCTATATATGTATATCTAGAGTATAGGCTTAATATGCCCTATCTACGTCTTCGGGTTCTTAATGGTAGATAGGGAGAAGATACTAGCCTCGCAGGTGGGGACACTAAGTGGTTTGGATATTCCCAGTGGTGTCTCTTCAAACAACAAATCAGGGTTCAGGGTATAGGGTTAGGGGTCAAAGTGCATTTGTGTGAGATGCAGACTTACAAGCCCTAAAGCCTAAATAGTAGTTTCTATTTTCTTTTCCATTATCCCTATATAGCCCCAATCTACTAGATTAGTTTCCATTTTCTTTTTCATTATCCTTATATTACCTATATATGCCTATGATAACTTGTATAAGGGCTAACTTTGTCAGACATGTCCAGCTTGAACGAGAGAGGTGTCGCCAGCTCGGGCTTCAAAGGCCATGAGGGGAACCCTTCGAAATCCAAAGCAAACACAAGAGGAAGACTTAAATGCCTTCGCAACTCCTCATTGTAAGGCCTTCATCGGCCTTCTGAATCCACTAAACCCTAAACCCTTAAACCATAAACCCTTAAACCCTAAACCTAAAACCTAAACCCTAAACAGCAGGGCAGCTCGGAATACTGCAATCTATCAGGCCGTCATCAGCTCTAATTTCCGGAGGCACGAAGCAGTGTCAGAACCAAGCCCTGACGAAGCCCTGAACCCTGCAACTTTGTAAGCTTCGAAGCCTGAAATGAGCTATATGAGCTAAAGTCTAAAATCCTTGAGGGGGGCTTATGTAGGGGATTATATAGATGAGCATTATAAGGGTTATTAGGGGGGGGGATACTAGAACTTCAGACTATAGCTCATATGGCCCCAATATACTAAAGTAGTTTCCATTTTCTTCTCTATTATCCCAATATAGCCCAAATACATACCCTGTAATCTCTATATAATCCTGAATTATAATCCCTGTAGTTTCCATGGAACCTATGGTATAGTCTAAATTCCAATGGCCACGGACTCCATCGATGACGTCGGTGACAGCAGTGAGGCTTTATTGGCAGCTTGCCATTTGGGGCGTGTAGAGTCAGAATAGCGAGAATATGCGTATATATATATATATATCTGTATTTAGCTATATGTATCTATATATATATATGTGTATAGGTATGTATGCGCATTTTGCAGTAGGTTTCTTGGAGATTACGGTCACGTGCCAGTGACCATGAGATGTGGCAACTGCGCATGTGTTTGCTAAGTGCGGAGCATTCTTTTCCGAGGGGGTGTCCTGCTCGCTGCGGGGCATCGAGAGGGTTGCCCTAAACCCTAAACCCCTAGACCCCCAAACCCTAGATCTGGATACTACCTGTGCTGAGGACAATCCTAGTTCCTCATTTCGTAGAGCCCTAAACCCTAAACCCTAAACCCTATGCAGCCATACTTTCTGTAGTGCCGTAGGAAGAATGTGTTTTGATTTGCCATCCTGTTGGAGTAGCAAAGGAGGGCCGCCTTTTCGTTGAGAGTAGGGCCTTGGATTCGAGGACTATGGTATGTTTTGTATAACTATTATCGTAGATTAGAATAACTTATGGTATATTATAGTACATGAATATCCAAGATCTTCCACCCCCGATCCCGTACACCCAAAGCCCTTCAACTTCCGTATAGCCTTTATGCTTCACGCATGCTTTGCATGTAGTCTTGATTAAAACTCTACATAAAGCAGAAACATATAACCTCTATATAATCACCAGCTGCCATTTCTGTGTTCTTTTTCTTATCCATTTTCTTTTCCATTTGATTGGCGGTAATAAGCCTTAAGCCGTATATAATCCCTACATACTCCCTACATGTTCTCTACATAATCCCTATCTAACCATCCTTCCATGTCGCCTAAAAAATCACGATACAGCTCTGGATGGAGGCCTGGCGGCGTTTTGACGAAGCCATCGACGTCCTGAAGCTTGCCAGACGTGCAAAGCAGGCGCGTGCTCTGTGGACTCACATGTATAAGTGGGTTTAGGGTGTATAATAGAGGTTATGTGGGGACAATGGAAAAGAACATGGAAACTAGTATCAAGTTGGGTAGGGGTATACAGGAGTTGCACCATTTATCATTGTTGCTGCAAGTGCTGTTCAACTTCCCTAGTGCTCTTGTAATGAGGATGATTAAATCCATTTCTAGTACTCTAAAACATACCCCTTTAGAACCCTATAGTAGTTTCCATTCTCTTTTCCATTCTGCCAATTCAACCCCTATACAGCCCTAAACCCGAATTCCTAAACCCTAAACCCTAGACCCTAAACCCTAAGCCATAAACCCTAAACCCTAAGCCCTACACCCTATGTATCCTCAATATTGGCATCTGAAGGGCTGCATTTGGTAGTTTCCCAAAATAAGAGGACCCCAATATAGACCCCAAAATACTATAATCCTTATTATGGGAACCCCCAAAATGGTACCCCTAATTTTGGGAAACCCCCATTTGTGGTGCAGGCCAAAGCGCCTGGGAACGAATTCTTGGCCAGCCTCGAAGCTCTAGCAGCCCCTTTCAGGTGGGCTGGTTTTGGGGATGCTAGGACTGGGGTTTAAGGTCTAAGGTTTAGGGATTAAGGGATTAAGGGTTTAGGGTTTAGGGTTTAGGGTTCAGGGTTTAGGGTTTAGGGTTCAAGGTTTAGGGTTTAGGGTTTTAGGGTTTAGGGTTCAGGTTTAAGGGTGTGGTTTCTTAGGGGTTTACAGGCATGTACAGGGTGTTGGGCTAAGGGCCTGAGTTTTCGGGCTAAGGGCCTGAGTTTTCGGGTTAAAGGGCTTGTGTCTGGATAAGTATTCAAAGAGTTTTCAGCGTGTTCAGCTGAGACATGGCCAGTGTTGCAGGGGTTTCTCAAAATTAGGGGTACCTTTCAGGGGGCCGGAAAATAAGGATGGTAGTAGTTTGGGATTTATATTTGGGTTGGAAACTACCACGTTACTTAGGATTTCACTCCTTGCTAGTACACCTGAGCTTGCCTGGAAGTTTCCCTTCATTAGAGATGGTATGGGCATCCTTTGCTTTGGCTTTTCCCTGTACTGTGGCTGTTTGACGTAGCTTCATGCTCGCGGAACAGTACTTGTGGGCTGACGACCTTCTTCGAGGCAAATGCCCAAATATGCAGCATTTGGTTACGATTTGCTAGGATTAGCATGTTCTCATTATTCGGAATGTTAGTTGGTGTTTTGGTGGGCTTCGTTGCAGTCACCATTTTTCCGTATGATATTTTGTGTCACTGCTGGCCCCACAGATAACATATCATGCGAGTTAACGCTGTATCATGTGGTCTCTACCAGGGGCAGCTGCCAAGTCCTCATCACCAGCACAAGTGGCAAGACCGTCTGCGAGTTCGATTTCGATGTGCAGCAGCGCCCTCCCTGCAGTTTTTTTGTTCTGAAAGTTGATAGGCATCCTTTGGGTGATGCGAGATTCAATGGGTTTAGTTTAGAACGGCACTGCCTCAGTGAGTGTCTTCATAGCAGAAAAGCCTATGCTCAGAGCAGATCTTCTCAGGTGTCAAGCCATGTAGAAATTCAGAAATTGCACCATAATGCTTCTGCAAGTTTAACGCAGTATCCGAGGAGCACCGGTGAGCTCTACAAGCATGTCACTGCAGCCAGCGAGGTTGCCATCAGCAAGCTGGGACGGTTCCTGTTGAAATCAGGGTTTAGGGTTTGGGGTGCACAGGTTGTGAGATTTCCGACTTGGTTGTTGTAAGTAATCACTTTCCCTGAAGGTGTTGGTGGGTGACTCCGTATGTCCCAAATGTTCTTGCAATGACTTACCTTAAGCCCTAAACCCTCAACCCTAAACCTTGAGCCGTAGACCTTCAACCCTAAGCCCTAAAACCTCAACCCCAAACCCTAAACCCTCAAAGCCGAGACGTGGGCATGCAGGACTCGTGATGTTGCCTGAGAAAATTACTCTGGTGAGTGATGATCGCCAGGCTGGAGAGCGAAGAAGGTTCAGGATTGAGGGTTTAGGGGTTTAGGGTCTAGGGTTTAGGGTTTACGGGTCTATCTACACAACGCTGAATATTCATGCGCCAATGGCGCCACCCCTCCTCATGGACATGATGCAAGAAGCCATCGGAACTGGGATTTCTTCAAACTCCCCACCGGCTGTGAGACATCACAGGCTGGCACCCAAACTATTTCCTGTTAGGGTTTAGGGCTGCGCCCTCAATTCCTGCCTTGAGATCATGTTCTCCTCTCAAAGCAACATTACGATCACGCACTCGCGTGTATCTTCTATCTCTCTCTCTCTCTCTCTCTCTCTCTCTCTGACCACCCTAGTAATGGGTGGAATTTAAGTTTAGGGTTTGGGGGTTTGGGTTTAGGGTGCCTGAAAACGGGAGTTTTCAAGATTGTGTACTCAAATTAAGCGTGGATATTGGTGCCACCCAGTGCCGGTCTGTGGTAGGGTGTCTGCCCTAAATCCTAATACCCACACCCTAGACCCTAAACCCTAAACCCCAAACCCCACACCCTGAACCCTAACCCTCAAACCCCACACCCTAAACCCAAAACCCTAAACCCCAAACCGCGCAACCTAAACCCTAAACCCCAAACCCCACACCCTGAACCCTAACCCTCAAACCCCACACCCTAAACCCTAAACCCTAAACCCCAAACCTCACAACCTAAACCCTAAACCCCAAACCCCACACCCTGGACCCTAACCCCTAAACCCTCAACCCTATTGTTTATTCACTGTTCCTGGGTTGGGGCGGAGTCCAGGATGAAAGAGCATGATCATGGGCTTGTCCAATCCCTATTCCTGCTGCTTAAGGGGGAGTGGGGGAGTGAAGATAGGTACAATTATAGGGGTTTAGGGTTTAGGGATTAGGGTGGGGGAGTGAATATAGGTACTATGCTAGGATTTTTTTTTGGGAGGGGTTATATAGGGATTATCCTAGGGATCCACTCCCGCACTCTCCCTGAAGCACCAGTAACACCAGTAAGTATTGGTTGGTTCTCGCTTTTGACTGCCCTTGCCGAAGCAGCTCGGAGTTGTGTGGTGCTTGAGCAAAAAGGTTTAGGGTTTAGGGTTTAGGGTTTTGTGGAATTTCGGAAGTGAATCACCTGATCAGCACTTCAGGTATCCAATTTGCTAAAGAACCATGCAGGGGTCAACAAATACCCGCATGTGGTGCTAGGGAGAGAAGTTGTCTTGCAGCAGTCTGGGTTGCTGTTAAGGGACTTAAATTAAGTTACCATAATGGGTATATATAGTAAATAATAGGGTTTCCCCAATATAATAACTTAATTTAAGTTCCTTAACAGCAACCCAGCAGTTGCAGTGCGTGTTGTCTTGCCCTGTGTAGAGGTGCTTTCCTGTGGCTTCCGTGCTGGCACAGTTGTCCACTTGGCCATGCTTATCTCAGGCAAGAAACGACAAAGTCACAAGGATTTGGGCGTTTGACTTTGTAGGATCAGTTTTCTGATTAAGGCTTTCGTTGGGGCCTTGCCAGAATGTTGACAGGGGTGGAAGGCAGGTAATTAGAGACAGTCCTGTGATGTCATGTGGTAGTTTTTGAGATTTTCAGTCTCCAGCTATACCCTAAAACTCCCCAAGCAGGATTCCTAGCTTTGATAGAGCACCGATGTCTGCAGTTTTCAATCGATAGCAAAGCTTCCACCCCTGATAACAAGAGTTCGGCTTAGAGTCACCTTGCAGTTTCTGGGCCAGCCTATACCCAGTAAGTAGACCGTAATTGAAGATGTAGATGATGGTATCCTCATGGAAACCCTCCTCAAGTCGATACAAAATAGGGGAGATCTATGGAAGTTACTCTGTCCTCATGTTAGATTTAATTGAAGATGACACCAGTAGGGACTCATTGCAGGCGTGCCGCGTCCAGATCACTTCTGGGATTTCTGCGGGACATCTGCAGATGTCTCCGAGGTTCGGGTTCCCAAATCAACTAAACCTTAAACCCTAAACCCTAAACCTAAGAAAGAGGGACCCCCGCAATCGCCTGAGGTCCCTTGAACATACCTCCCAGGATTTGAAAAGGTTCCCCCAAAGCCCCCAAACTTGCAAAAATCCCCCAGGCCCTGAATCCACACCTCTGAATCCTAGATCCACTGAGCTGTAACGCATGCGATCCGAAGTCACCCTTGTGGCGAAATCATGGGGCCCCGAAACCAAGCCCCATATCCCAAACCTCAAATCCCCAAACCCAGGAGCTTTGGGGTTTAGGGTTTAGGATCTAGGTTTTAGGGTTAAGGCTGTTTACATGGCATTCCCAGGTCCACGATGCCTACAGCGGCGTGGTGGCCCGCCTGCGGGGCGGAGCGCACCGAGCCTGCATCCTATTGTTTTGTTGGTCAGTAATTTTAGATGGTAGGTTCCTCAAATAGGGGGACCCCAATATAGACCCCAAAACACTGTAGCCCTTACTAGTGGGCCCCCAGAAAGGTACCTCCGATTGTTGCGAACCTGCAGGTGTTGAGGGTTTTGGAGTCTAGGGTTTTGAGGGTTTGTAGTGCTTCGCCGTTGTGTGTTGCGGATATAGGTGAGTATCTAAAAATACTGTCCTTGTCTCGTGGCCTGTGTTAATGAAGAATATCACTATTTTCTGCTTGGGGTTGTACAGGTGGAACCGGGCGTGAGAAAATCTCGTTACCTGTTGATGTTGTCATGATGGGTGTTGATCATGGTTGTTGCCAACCATAGTTATGTACTGTCATTATATTGTAAACCTTACAGGTCTCACCTGAATTCAAAATCCTCAGCCTGGTATCACCCTTAGTAAGCCATTCCCTTGCTATCTTCACCATGGCCAGTTTTCTATCAACTACCAGTGTTATTCTGGCACTAGGCTTGCAGCGATTTTTCCTTCGTACATTCAAACGCACACTTTTCGAACTCTGTTCGTGGTGCCAATGGCAGGTGAGTGACTGTAAACCCTAAACCCAGGAGGGTAGTCATGAAACCCTGGTACCTTCTGAGAGTGGTAGAGAGGGCCTATTTGGATGGTTTAGGGTTTAGGGTTTAGTGGAAATTACCCACCTGTAAGCTACCCACCTGCAATGGGATTCTAACTTTTGGACGTATCGAAGCTCCTTACAGATGCGGGGTTCTCAGATTGGTGGCCTTCCAATGACTTGCTCTGGCTTGGCCTTTGGGGTTAAAAGGGCCTATAGGGTTTAGGGGTCAGGGGTTTAGGGGTTGAGGGGTTTAGGGATTTAGAGTTTAGGGTTTAGGGTTTAGAGGTTCAGGGGTTATACATACCTTCTAAATATTTTTCAAAGGCTCTAAAGGCCAATCAAGTTCTGTATAACTCCTATACTATACTACTACGCTAAACCCGATGCCGTGCCAGGTGCAAGGGTTTCCTGGGAACCTGTAGAGTAGCATGGCAGCGTTACTGAAACAGCCCTCCCGCATGATGCCTGCCTCTAATGGCTTACGGAAGTGTGATGTAGACGCAGACTATGGGTGAACACTGGTGTTCAAGGGAGAGTGGATGCCATAAGAGTCCCTACATAACATTTTTCAATGGAGTTCATGCTCCCTCACCCACTCCCCCCGAAGCATCAGCCAGTGTGGCTTCTTTTTAAGTGGCTTGCCTTACAAGCGATGTTGACAAACTCCTTCAAAACTGAGCAAAGGGGATCATGTTGCACTTTGCAAGGATGTGGTTGTGCATTTGGTTTGCTGGAGTTCATACTGGCTAGATGGTTAAATCCTAAACCCTAAACCCTATATGGCCCCCTTCTTTTCCATCATCCCTACGCCCCTATATTGAACCCTACCCCGGAACCGCAAACCCTAAACCCTTAACCCAACCCTAGTACTCTGGGCCAAGGAAGTGTGGGCCAGCTGGTGTTGAGTTGGATGGCCGCGAGGCGGCTCCTCAGACAGTTACTTTCTACTTTCATGGGATGGGGACCCCAAACAGGGAACCCCAAGAACATAGTAGGAATTGATAGAATCATCCCTTCTTAGTATGTTTCTACTATAATCTTGCGGTTTCCTGTTTGGGGTCCTACGAAGATTTCTCGCTTCAGGGCCCAGTGGCTGTTCCTGAAGGTCAGAGACTAAGGCACACTACACCCTAAACCCTAAACCCTACACCCTAAACACTAAGCCATAAACCCTCCACCCTAAACCCAGCCCTTCATCCAAACCACTAATATCAGGAGTGTTCTATTTGGGGGATCCTCTGGTCCACAACACAGAGTAAGACCATATCCTCGGTTTGGGTATGGGTATCTCTTAAGAGGGAAAGAATCTTACTTGTTTCAATCACCCAAAAATACTAGTCATATTAGGTTGTTGAATCTATAGTCCCCCTTCAGTAGATAGAATATGGATTTGGGTATTTTAATAAGATACCCGTATACCCCATATTCTATCTACTTAAGGGGGACTATAGCCCCTAAACCCTAAACCCTAGACCCTATATTCTATCTACTTAAGCGGGAATTCAGAACCACCTGGCCCGGAATGGGACTTCTCATCAGAAGGTGCTGTGAGCATTATCTGCCACTATGCGTTTACATATGCTGGTGTTCAACGCCCAGAGTTTGGGGTTTAGGGGTTAAGGTTTAGGGTTCGGGGTGTAGGGTTTAGGGTTTAGGGTGGGTCCTACGCCCAGATGCTTCGTCAGGATGCATGTAACCTTTATTCAAGCAGACCTGCCCCTCCCTCATGCGAGCCCCTAAGTCCCACATCAAAAGACTTGAGCCCTACTCCGAATGCTACCGGAAACTCTGTGTATACCCTGCACCCTGAACCCTAAACCCTATGCCCAAAACCCTAAACCCTCATCCCTAAACCCTTGCTGTAAAGCATTCCACACCGCTAGACAGTGGAGAAAAGGTCACATAAAAAAGCTAAAGCCCTCACCCTGAACCCTAATCCCTAAACCCTCATCCCTAAACCCTCTACCCCAAACCCTAAACCCTCGTCCCTAAACCCTATACCCTAAACCCAAAACCCTACATACTACATACCCCCTTTGCCTTGGAGGCCTTTGTGGAGATCGACCCCTGGGAGTGGGCCGGGCCAGTGACCTTTGAGGCCAGGGTGCGCTACAACTCGCGGCTTGGCCGATTATCCCAATAGGTACCCTTTGAATATACAGGGATTATATAGGGGCTATATGGGGGTTATATATGGATTATATAGGGACTATATGGGGTTATATAGGGATTATATAGGGACTATATGGGGTTATATAGGGATTATATAGGGGCTATATGGGGGTTATATAGGGATTATATAGGGGCTATATGGGGGTTGTATAGGGATTAGATAGGGGTTATATGATGGGAGTTATATAAGGACAAAATAGGGGTTATGTATTGATATATAGATAATGTAAAAGAAAATCAGAACTCTTTTCTTCTTGGGCGGTGGGAAAGGGTCAAGTCTGGATTGGTTTGAGGAGGTTGAGTTTGGGGGGCATTGGGGCGTGCAATTCGTAGGTAGTTTTCGTTTAGTAGTTTGTAGGTGCAGGGTCTGTGGTTTGGGGTTTACACTGCTCAGGGGCGTGAGGTTTAGGTGTTTGAGTATTAGGTTCAGGTTACTAAGCAGCTCAACATTCGGAGCTTGCGTCTCTGAACTTTATTTAGGCTATGCAGCGGAGAAGGAGACCACCTTGTGAGTTTCAAGATTCATGGCTCTTATTTAAAAGGGGGGGTTTAGGGTTTAGGGTTCGTTCCTATTTCGGGAAGCGACCAAATTCTTCCAAGTTTCAGGATAGACTTCAGGTCAGGATACACATGACATCCCGCAGTCACGGTTGAGGATGCAGGGTTGCCTGGTCTTGAAGCAAGGTTCTGAAGCTTACATGAAGGCACCCATTGTTTTGCTTTCTTCACTACTTATTTTACTATATCGAGTACCTAAGTGTAGTCCTTTTGAAAATCCCACATATACCCCTAGTGTCCCCCAAGGGTATCTCCATATGTTGACGCATCTCCGAGCCCTTGCCCACGGGGTGACTCCCTAAACCTTCAACACCCAAACTCTAAACCCCAAAGCCCCAAACCCTAATCCCAACACCGCTGAACCCCTAAACCCAAACCCCTAAACCCAAAACCGCTAAACCCCTAAACCCTAAACCCTAAACCCTAAACCCCTAAACCCCTAAACCCCTAAACCCCTAACCCTTAAATGGGCTGTTTAAGGTATGCGCATCAAGCTGCCATCCTCGCTCTTGGTACAATGCTCCCAGATGGACGCGTCAATGAGCTGTATTCCATCATGGGTTATATAGGGTTTTTTTGCTAACGCCGGGCGCGCATGATTCTAGCGCGCATTGGCGCAGTCCCTGAAGCTCTCAGTGCTCTTGATATATCCGCGTATACGGTGTTATCACCAAGTATGCTCCTACCCGAGTTTTGGTCCCACTCTACTTTAAACTGTCGCTTAGTTGTTACTTCAATCCAGTATGGAATCTTCCCACCCCTACGCCTGCCTGTAGTTTTGATTCTATCTTTGTATCCCGAGTTGAAAACTACGAAAACTACGTTCTTTAGGGGGTCATGGTCTGAGGCAAGGAACACCTGTTCAAGGAGTTTGTGTTGTTTTTGGAGGAGGAAGTCAGAGGGCTTATATAGGGTTTAGGGTT